GCTGTGTCCACTCCCACCCCTACCTTTGGTGTTTCAGGCCTCCAGGCAGCGAGTGGGAGACCAAAATGGTTCTGCCGCTCTCAACTACCTCCGCTGACAATCCGGCCGCTCGCTGCGGGCCGGGGAGGCGGCTGCCGCTGCTGCGAACAGATGTCGGCGACAACCTGCTAGCTTACACCTGGACGCGCGGCCCTCACCTCGCGCGCCGCGCGCTGAAACATTCATGACTCGGAGGACTTGCAGCCACAATCAAAGCCTGGGCCGGGTCTGTGCGCAGCGCGCGGACCCCGCCACCTCCACAGGAGCTGGCGGCGCGCAAAGGGGAGCGGGGGCCAGGGACCGAGCCGGGGATTTCTCGCGCCGCTTTGATACTCTATGCCTGAACTTCAATTACTTGATCAAGGACTTCGATTGAGCGGTGAATTATTCTGCAAATGAGCCCGGTGCGGCCTCTGAGCCATAAAAGGAGAGCATTTGGCTTGAAATTCAGCGTGACGGGACTTGCAGAGGAAATGTGCTTGACTCCCGGTTTAGTTCTATGTACGCTGATTTGTTTATTAAACTAAACCCTCAAGAGGCAGAATCTGCAGTAAACAGTTAAAAATAAATGACAAGATTATTTTCCTAGGTAGAAAACATGCTGTTGACTAGGCACTGGTTCTGTTATTTTGGAACCATCAGCCACAACCTGAAAACAATTGTTTTATTGTCTCTCAAGCAGCACTAAGTTTGTTTTGCCTTGTTTTTTTAAGAAAGAGAATGGCTATTACTCCTTTAAGATCCACAAAGGACAAAACATTCTTGCAACATTCAGTTGTCCTAAAAATGTACAGAATGGTAACTCTGCTAACATATTGGAATGTTTTTTGCTGTGTAATTCTATAATCTCTGAAAAAATACAGGTTATAGTTATGTATGTATGTGGGATGTTAAGTTTATATTGGAATTAATTATATCAAATAAAGAATACCTGGTTGATGACGTGAAGTTGACAGAAACGCAGATATTCTTAATAATCTTTGCGAAACATGGACAATGGGAGATGGGGAATAAAAAGAAGGGAAGGCAAAGAGTTCCCAAATTGTCTAAAGGACAAAGGTTATATGCTGATAACTATAATAGACTTGACATCAATCCCCAGTCTAAAAAATAATAAATATTATAAAGTTTCACTAGCAAGAAACAGAAACAAAAGGGCAAATCATGCCAAGCTTACCTAATTTCCATGATTAAATAATTCTCCATCATTGGTTTGGTTAGATGAGGAAATATACTATGCATTATACCATAAATTCAGCAAATAATTTAACAAAATTCATTAAATATCCTTTTGAATACGATAGTAAATTGAGGGATGCCTGGGTGGCTCAGTCGGTTAAGCATCCAACTCTTGATTTCAGCTCAGGTCATGATCTCAGGGCTGTGAGATTAAACCTACTCTCTGGGCTCTGTGCTGGGCATGGACCCTGCTTAAGATTCTCTCCCTCTCCATATGCCCCTCTCCCACCAAAAAAAATCATTAAAAAAAAAAGATGGCAAACTAAGATTGTACTATTGGGTGGGTTCCTAGCTTTACCATACTAATGTCAATTAACTGGATTATCAGCCTGTGGGGAAAACTTTCATGGAATGCCACATTGAGGCTTTAACAGTGGTTTGAAATAAGTAACAAAAACTTGCAGGTGACAAAATGCTGGAAGCAGTAAAGCTATACAAGAAAAAAGCATTATGAAAAAAAGACGAAGTCATACTGTGTCAGATACACATACAATCATAATATATATTTGATGGAGCATACATAGGTTTATGGTGGAAAAACTGGAGACTTAATTAATCACACGCAGTAAAGATCTACTATCTTTTATGTACACCTTTGAAATAAAAAATCTTTGAAAACTCTTAAGTTTTCTGCGGAGTTTGTCACCAAAATTTATTTGGAAGCAAACCCTGCCTTGAACTTGAGACTATTAATAGTCTATGTCTACTTGCAGTTACTAATATTTCTGTAGCAAAATGTCTAAATAATGTAATCAGAAGGTGCTGCATTACATAAATACATGAAGTATGGACTGTATCAGATTCCTAAAATGTGAAAAATTCTGAATTTTGAAACAATTTGAACTTAAGAGTTAGAATAAAAGTCTTTGGGGCTATAATAGACAAAAGAATGGCCAAATTACCAGAACAAAAGAAATCATGGTCAAAATAATGAAAAGATTACTCTTAAACCATGGAAAAACAAATAATGATTTAACCTGCTAGGACATGTACAGTATTCTAACACTACTTTTTTTCTTTTTCTTTTTCTTTTTTTAAGTAGGCTTTAGCGTGGAGCCCAACACAGGGCTTGAAACTCATGACCCTGAGATCAAGACCTGAGACCAAGAGCCTGAGGCTTAATGGACTGACCCATCCAGGCACCCTTCTAGCACTATAATTTTTAAAAAATATTAAATTTATTTAGTATCTAACGAAGTGCTTGGTACATGTAGGCACTAGATAAATATTTGTTGAATGAATGAGTGTAATTTATCATTTAAAAAACCAAATATATCGATTTATCCAATCTTAAAGATTTCTTCTTTTCTATTACCAACCTATCATTCTGGTTTCAATCCCAACCCCTAGATTATCTAGCAATCCACAAATCATTGTATTCTTGGCTGCCTCAGAGACTTTGCTCTTGATGCTTCATCCATGGAAAAGTTCAGTCCACCTAACTCCACCTGTTGAAATTCTACTCATATTTAAAGATAGAAGGCCTATATTTTTGAAGAAGCATTTCCAAGTTCCTCCAGAGAGAGTTAACCTCTCGTCTTCTGTGCACTCAAGAGTACTCGATGCCTACTTATATTATGGCTCAGATCACCTTCTGGAATAAATATTACTTTCCTGTATGTCTTGTTTCCCAGGCAAGTTTTAGGTTTCTTAAGGGCAAAGACTACAGTTTGCACTTACCCTTCAGTATTACCTGATGTCATTACTTGTGTACATTAATAATCCAAAAATTACTGAATTAAATCAGAATTAGTAGGAATGATGAAAGACAAAACTAAATTTTAAATGAGAGTTAAAAGAATATATACTGTATTGACAAGAGTGCTAGAACCACTGTCTGCCTTTGCCAGCTAATACATCTTTAGTGCTGGCACAAAACTCAACATTTTTAAAGGTGAAAATTATTGAACAAATGAACTAATGTTGAATCTGGGGGAGAGAAAACGAAGATGATGCACAAAAACAATTTTAAAACACATAAAATGAAAGTCTAGCATATTAAAGAGTAAAGAGAGTTGCTATATGTTGGTCCAGAAGCAGAACTTCAGATCATGAATTTAAACAGAGGCACAAATTTCAATAAACATAAGAACTTACTATTAACCAGAGTGGTCTGGTAATGAAAGAGGCTCCTTCATACACCATCTGGTTATCTCTACCTATCGTCCAAGCAAAAGATAAATGATCTGTTGGGAGAATTCTCAAACTGGATTTCCTAAATGGCTGAACTCAGATGTTTTGAAAATGACCCTCATTTCAGAGAAGTAAAAATTTAAAGATTTAGATGTTTTTGTTTTATATATATAAATATGTAACACTGAACATAACTTAGTTTGGCACTGTAAAATACTCATTTCATTGATCATTTCATCCTGAAAAAAATAGCCTATTAAACCTGAATGAACCTAAAGTCCTCTGAAGTTGAAGTGAATAAAGTTGACTCACTTCAGATTTGGTGATCAGGATGATGATTATGTTGACACACAATGAAATGATCCCGTTATTATTACTAACAGTGTTGTGTCTGAACCAAACCTGTCCATTGTTACAAATGGAAATGTTTTCAACAATTTTTCTTACATTGATACTATAGAAAACAGTGCTAACATATTAAAGAAATCATTAACACCGGAGGAATTCTAGCCAAATTTCCATAAACAAAAGACATCAAATAGGCTTCCTCAGTAGGGAAAATGTATACATATATACGTGTGTGTGTGTGTGTATTTTTTTTTAATGAGAGAGTGTGTGTGTCTCACCATCGCAGATTTCTATAATGCGTTATAGTCCCCCCTTATCCACAGGTGACACGTTCCAAGACCCCCAATGGATGCGTGAAACCACAGACAGTACCGAAACCTATATATACTGTGTTTTTCCCTATACATACATACCTATGATAAAGTTTACTTTATAAATTAAGTGCAGTGAGAGAGATTAGCAAAAATGCCTAATAATAAAATAGAAAAATTACACTGATATACTGTAATAAAAGTTATGTAAATGTGGTCTCTCTCTCAAAATACTATTGTTCTATACCTACCCTTCTTGTGATGATGTAAGATGATAAAATGTCTGTGTGATGAGAGGAAGTGAGATGAATGACGTAGGCATTGTGACGTAGCATTAGGCTACTACTGACCTTATGCACATGTGTCAGAGGAGGGTTATCTGCTTCTGGGCCACGGTTGACTATGGGTAACTGAAACTGTGGATAAGGGAGGACTACTGAAAGACACTTTGATATATTTAAGAAATTAGTTTGCATTAACTGTTGAAGGCACAGAAATATGTATTTATACCTGAAGAAACGGAGGCTCTGCATGTTCCCTGGGCTTCACGGCCAGTAAATGGTAGAGAAAGACTCTAACTACTAATCCCCAGTCTGTCCTTCCCACTTGGCAAAACCTCAGAATGTGATGTCGTCCAAGTCAAAGGCTGAAGCAGTGAGTGTGCATATTAAAGTATGCGTGTGACAGACCATAATCTGTACGTATTCCTTGAGCAGGAACTCGTGTTAAACCATGGCTTGAGGATGTATTCTAACAACAGGGGATAATTTATGAAGCGCCCCATGTAATAGGATCTTGCACAAGACAACAATTCCTTCCTTCCCCAAGTGTAGGGAGGGCTTTAAAAATTCTTTTCGATTACTATTTCACTACCTGCATCATGCTGATCCAAGCCCTCAGCTCTGTGCCAGCACACCCCCACACACAAACCTCATCGCCTTCCTGAGGCCGCATCAAGGAAACACGGTCGTACTGCTGCCGCAACAGAGCCCAGAGCGCATCAAGACGACCCTAAAGGGAAACATGACTTGTAAATTCCTAGGCAACGTTTTCGACCTCTGTCCACTACATAAAGAGTTAAAACGCAGACGGTAAAGTCTGATTCCCTCCTATCATTTCTTTTCTTTTTTTTTTTTAAAGGTTTTATTTATTTGACAGAGAGAAAGACAGCCAGAGAGGGAACACAAGCGGGGGGAGGGGGGAGTGGGAGAGGGAGAAGCAGGCTTCCCGCCGAGCAGGGAGCCCGATGCGGGGCTCGATCCCAGGACCCCGGGATCATGACCTGAGCCGAAGGCAGACGCTTAACGACTGAGCCACCCAGGCGCCCCCCTCCTATCATTTCTTTCCTAAATTAAGCAAACAAATAAAGAACAAAAACGAAGGTTCTTGCCGCGGAGAAAGAGTTAGTTGCTAGGATGGCTAATGAATGAGTGCTGCTGGATGCACCGTGGTCCGCCTGCAGGCAGCTAAAGAAGTCATCGTTTCTCCAGTTACAGTTTCTCAGTTAAATCACAGAAAATTGAAACAATTACCTTAATTGGTGTGTACCACTTTGTCTGAGGAGACTGGTATGTGGGTTTGGGCCGAGGTGGTCTCGGCCTGACGGGTTCCTCAACTTCTTCAGGAATCTTCACCACAGCATTTTTGGCTTTCTCTAGCCTTGCACCTTCCTCAGTAGATCCCTTATCACCCCAACGAACCTTTAAGACAAAGGGAAAATACTTGTATCAGACATCGAGTGTTCTAGAAGAACAAGCTTTTATTCAGCAGATGGTCCTTTGGTTCGCCATCATGGAGTGAAGAGATGCATAGTATACTAACTCTAAATTCCTCCTCTTCTGAGATTTAATTAGGTATGTTCCCCTTCTAGCTAAATACATACCCATACTGATGGCAGTGGGGGGGAATGGATGATGAGGGGGACGATTACTATGTGCCAACTGCATTTAATCCATACCAAAAAAATGCAATGAGATAGATACTGTTGATACTCTAGTTTTTTCCTTCCAGATGAGGAAACCGCGGCATGGAAAGGTTGAGTGATGTGTCCAAAGCCACACAGCTAGGAGGTGACAGGACAGGGATTTGAACCTGAAATAAGTTAGTACGTTTCAAAGAGGCTTGAATTTTACAAATGTATTTTTACATGTATTTTACAAATGTATTTTATACAAAGGAGTAAATTGTTCCTTCCAAACTTTTCATCCAGTTTGCCTAAGTCAAAAAGTATGATTTAAACATTTAGCCTTTGGGAGTAAAATAAGTATATATGATTTTTCTTTACTTTTGTAAAACTCGACTTTGTAAAGTAGCTTTCAGTCTTTAGTTCTGATGCTCATCTGAGTATGGTTATTTGACATCTCAATTTTTCATTGAGGAAGGCAAATCTGAAAAGGCTCTGCTGTGAGAAGAAAAATTCAGGGACACTCAAGAATTCCACAAATTTTAAGGTATTTCCTTCTCTGAAAACTCTGGACAGTGAAAAACTATAGAGTCAAATTATCATTTTCTTTATTCTTCAGTGAACAGGAATTAAGAGCTAAATCTGAGCTAAGCTTTATCTCCTTATGCGCATGGTATTGGAGGTGACCCCCGGACAAAGACTTTGTCCAGCCAGAAGCGTGGAGATGTCCTACAAAAGCCTAGGACGTTAACAAAGATGACAAAGATAAGGTAAGAGAAGCTCTGCAAAGAAATACGAAGGCCTGTCCAGAATACACTGACTCACCAGAATTAAATGATTTCCACAAAGGAAAAAAAAAATTAAATACTTTGTAAAAAGCATTTTAATGACCTGAGTTAGTGGGTAGGGATAGAGATGATTACTATTCACAGAAAGAACTACTCAAGGCTTTTTGATAAGGCTTACTTAGATGTTTTTACCTTTTTTACTACAATTTTAGAATAAGCTTTCAAACTCGAGTGGACCCTGTTGAGTCATTAAAATGTATCTGTATCTTTCAGTGTGATCAGTGGTACTAGAATGTTCTTTATGAGGTTGTTAAAATTGTTTTAAACACCATTAAACCTTTAGAGCTAGCTACTTGGCTTTCTTTCCAGAGAAATGACCTTCTCTTTCAAATCAGAGTGTCTTTATTTAGATAAACTAAAACTTATGGAATCTTTAGATATAGCTAAACTGAGTTAAAAAAACTAGCTAAAAAACTCTAAAGCCAGGATATATATCCTGGCAGTTGTGATGTCTCAATTTTAAGGGAAAAAACAAAAAAAGATACACAGTTAACTAAACAAATAAATGTCATAACTCAGAAAAGTAATTCAGAATAAAAATGTAAGTAGATAAATGTTACATCTATTCAGAAATTACAGATTTAAGATATACAGCTCCCCAGCCTAGCCTTCACAGTTGGCATCATAGAGGTAAGGGTAATCATATTCTTCCTCTAAGAATCACTGACACCATTCTCAGATAAAGAACACGAAGGTGGCTGACCTGGAGTTCTTTTCTTTCTTTCTTTCTTTTTTTTTTTTTAAAGATTTTCATTTACTTATTTGAAAGAGAAAGAGAGCACAAGCAGAGGGAGGGCAGAGGGAGAAGCAGACTCCTCGCTGAGCAGTGAGCCTGACACAGGGCTCGATCCCAGGACTCTGAGATCATGACCTGAGCTCAAGTCAGATGCTTAACCAACAGAGCCACCCAGGCGCCCCTGACCTGGAGTTCTGACTCAGTGTATTTCTAGACTCACCTCTTATCGGCCTAGACTCTGAAATACAGTTGCTGAGGTCTAAAGGAAATTCATTAATTAAATCCTTAGTGTTAGTTCATGAAGTAGCTGGTCCATCATCCTTATCACCATCATCACAAACAACACAATAAATAATTCTCACTCAATCTCAAAGTCTAAAATTAGGAAATATTTTATGGATTTTTCCTAAAACTCTCAAAAGCAATTATAGGCATACCTCAGAGATACTGCGGGTTTGGTTCCAGACCACGACAATAAAGCAAATAGCATAATAAATGAGACAAATGAATGTTTTGGTTTCCCAATGCATATAAATGTTACTATACTGTAGTCTATTAAGTGTGCAATAGCGTTAGGTCTAAAAAAACAATGTACATACCTTAATTAAAAAATACTTTACTCCTAAAAATTTCTAAGCATCATCTGAGCTTTTAGCAAGTGGTAATCACTGATCACAGACCATCATAACAAATACAACAATAGTGAAAAAGTTTGAAATATTGCAAGAATTACCAAGACGTGACACAAAGACACAAAGTGAGCAAATGCTGTTGGAAAAATGACGCTGATAGACTTGCTCAATGCAGAGTTGCCACAAACCTTCAATTTGTGAAAAACACAGTATCAGTGAAGCGCAATAAAGCAGAGCACAATAAAACAAGGTATGCCTGTAAATATATATACATTTATATGTATACATTTTAATATTTTAGTTTAACCACATTGAGATAGTCAAAAAAGATTTAAAAAAAAACAAGAATAAATTGCTAAAGGGAGCTTTAGCAGAATTAATATACCTGGCTTTTTTACTATGGAGAAAAAAAACAAGGGCAAGCTTGATAGCTAAATTCTTCCAACTCTACTTGGCTTTCATAATAAACAATAAAATTCCATAATTTCCAGAGTATATTTGGATGACTAGGAGGTTGTATCATAAAGGAGCAATTTCAGAATTGAGAAAGAAACAAAAAAACAGTTTCACGCTGAATTGGCAGAAACACACATTTGAAGTCATTAGGTATTGTGGATCAGTTGTGCTAACAGCTGTTATTAATATCAGCTCAGTTCCAGCTTTCTGCAAATTGCCATTACCATAGCATTTAAATACTTAATTTAAAGGAGGAGTAAGAAAAAAAATCTACGTAAAATCCCTACCCTGGCTTAAAATAACCTTAGTTACAAAGATTTCTTCTATAATTCAGATGTGCACATAATTTCTATAATTCTATTTATTTTTCCCAGGTAAAGGTATTTTTTAAGGGAAATACTTTCCAGGTTTAAATAGGCATGGTTTAAAAATAGATTGTTTTCTATTTTCCCTAAAGTTTATAAATAAGATCAGATTTGAGAGAGCTCATTGATGCTTAATTCTCGATTCAATTTTTATTGTGTATATTTAAGTACTGTTTCCCCTTTGTAATGTTCACATTTACTTTCTCATTTTTTCTCATCCCCATTCCACCTCATTGATGGAATACCACATACAACATAGCTAAAATTGTCCAAAGCTAAAATGCACCCCTATTTATTAAAAGTGGATGAGTCCTTTCCATAAATTTTCTTAAACTGAAAAGGACTGGCAATGTAATTTCACATATTAAGAATTGTAACTCTTGAAACTTGAAATGTAAGTTACTCATGAATGTGCGTGATCTATGGCTTTCTTGACCATAAACCAGTATTATTCCTCTTACCTCAGGACCACATCAGGGGTTCACGGGTATGGTTTTCTTTAGAAAGAGATCTCAGTCTTCGATACACTGGAATATTGGACTAACAAAAATCTGTCATAACTCCTAGTGTTTTCAGCAAAAACATTATTCATTTAAGGCTCACTTACTAGCATACCCTTATCTCACTGTCATGTGGTATTTTATACATGTAGATTTCAAAATTGAATTAAATTTATATTTTGTATATAAAGTAGTGTATGCTCATTGTCAAAGGAGTTAGGAAAAAATAGGAAAATACATAGCACAAATTGAAAATCACTCCCTCCAGAGAAAGCTACTAACATTTTGTAGTATAGCTTTTCAAACATTTCTTCCCCTTGCATACAGTTTTTACACACACATTTTGGAATGAGGTGAAGTAAATTAAAAATAAGTTGGGACAGACCATATTTAGATGTCCATATGTAACTTTTTTATTTACAAGTTTATTTTTCATATACATAAAATTATCTAATCTACTCTTTCCCCACCCCTCCCAGCCTAGAATGACACAGCAAATGGAAGCAGAAGGAAAATGGCCTTCGTTCTGTGTCAAGCAACAAGAGCTAAGCCTAGCCATGTTCTCTTGGACTGTTTGATATTCGCAATCATCCACATGAGAACGCATATGCACTATCTTCTCCAAAAGACAAATTTAATAGCTTCTAGCACCAGCCTTTTCCATGGCTTATTAGCAATGAGGTACCTGTCTCAGAGGATATTTCAGCAATAAAGCGGCATGCTTTTAGGGAAAGTGTGCATTATTTTAAGATCTAATGTGGTCAAGAAAGTGAGAATCACTATCAGATGACTTGAATAACCACTTTGGTAATGACAACCACGTTAAGTAGGTCTGAGCAGAATACTGAAATTTATTCTGAAAAGGGGAAACTCTCCTAGGGAATCTGAATTTTATTGAAATGTAGAAAAAAGAGAAAATTGCAACAGTTGTGAGGTTGTTAATTAGCTCACTGATTTTTGCTGGCAGTAATAGGACAAAGCCCATATGACAGGAGAAGACATGTGAAATGACTGCAGAACACATAAAAAGTCCTTCTTATCAAGAAGTAAAGTTAAAGGGTAACTTATAAGGGAGAGATGCCAGGATCTGTGTTTAATGATAAAGTCAGCCTATCAATGAGAAAACTCCTCCAACTGTTCCTTGAGGTGGGACGCTGGCCTGTCTAGGCTGTGCTTAAGGGCTCAGTGCCGGCAATAAGTGCTTAGTATTAATTAATCCATCACTTTGAAAACTATTTCTGTGGTGGTAAGAAGACCTCATTTCACTTTTAAGATACAATATTAAAGTTCAATTTTAATCCACACTTTGAGCCAGTCTAAAAGTTCTATAAATGATATTTAAAATTAATTATGATTGTTCATAAGTGGTAACTAAAAGCTGTAAAAAAAAATGCCTTAAATGTGCTTCCCCTACATCTGTGATAAGGTCATACCCATACCACGAATATTTTAACATTTTTATCCCTAAACAGTACATAACTATTGGATCTTTTCAAAGACAAGCATTATTGCTACTTTAAGTGGCTGGCTTCTACAAAGTTGATGCTGTCTGCAGTAATTTTTTCCAAAATAGTGAGAAAAACCCTAACTTTGTTTCGCCCTTTAGAGTTCAAACATCTTATCAATGCAATTCTTTGACTAATGAAGTCAGTTCTTCTTGTACAGTTTTGAAATGGCCAGGATGATTCCACAGAAAAAAAAAATTATCCAAAAAAGACCCAGTGTTAAATAAAACTGGATGGTATTATGAAATTCTGAAAAGCACAGTTTCCATGGCTTAATAGTTCTAGAATTACACATTCCAGATTAGCAGCTTCTTTTTTTTTTTTTTTTAAAGATACCAACCTCCATCCTTTTAATTCCTCCAACCCCTCGACCACCATAATAGGAAGCATCCACAGTTGGCCATTTCTTCGTAGGCAGAGGTTCTTCTTCTTCCTATGTAGAATATTACAAGTTTTTAAAAGTGGGTTTAATTAATTTCTTAAAATACCGGTTAGAACTAACACGCATTTAAACATTTTTCTGAATAATGACACTGATACGGAAGAAATAGAGTAACAGTTATATACGGGGCATTTGGATGTACTTATGCTTACATGCATAAATTTCAAGCGGAGTTCTACAGAATATAAGGACTCCTGCCCTCCCAATTTTAGGAATCTCCTTTATTTCACCAGATTACCAGAAGTTGCTCCTTAACTATGAGCAGCATCATTTGTTTTTTTTTTTCCAATTCTATTTGTTACTTCAAATTTAAAAAGATAAGACATTAAATGCAGGAAAGCATTTCAAGAACCATTTAAAGCATCAACATACATATTAAGTTAAACTGCAAAATTGGTACTAAAAAGATAGGTAGTTAAGAAGTTTTGAAAATGCACTACTTCCATATTTCATGTTGCTAACGTAAGTTTGGCTAAAGTAATAATCATTTTGAAGAAAGGATGAACACCTTTAAACTTCCAGCTTGGATCTTCTACCCTTCTATAGATAAAATAAGTAACATCAGGACTATTGATCTATTGATAGACAAAGTAAAGTAAATCTCTGTGCACTATTAAGCCTCACGGCCAGTCTATATTTATCAGTTTTTGAAGGTCCTATTCCTCTAGCACATGAAAGAAATCATAAGAAGATGAAAAATAATAATGAATTTTCATAAATTCAAAAGTCAATACATAGGTATCACAGTTATCCAACAGCAAGGTAATTGATCAAATTTGGGGATAATATCTAAATACAGGAAAAAAATATCCACATCACTCATTAGGCACTTATTTACCTCTTTTGGTGCAGGAGGTGGTGGTGGAGGAGGATCCTTGATAACCTGTCCAAAAAAAACCCAAAAAACAAAAAACCAAAGGTAAAAATTTTGGTGGCATAACAAGGAGACAGCAAAGATGTGTAAAAATAACTCGATTAGTAACATACAGTGGTAGTGCCAAAGATGTTCCCAGTGAACCTTGCCTCTCAATGGGTATGCCTCTCCCTTTGAATACAGTCTCTCCTGTAACAGGCTTTTGACTAACTAGCATGAGGTAGAAGTGGTGCCATGTGACTTCTGCAGCTGGTCAAAAGAAGCTTTTCCACTTCCCTCAGCATCCCTGGGACACTCACTCTGGAGGAAGCCTGCTGTCATGCCAGAAGTCTACCTTGAGACCATCGGGCCAGGAGGAGGAAGAACCCCAGGATAACCTTACAAAAAGGCTGGGTGATGAGAGGTGCCTGGCCAGGCCCCAGCTATATCAGCCATCCCAGCCGAAGCGCCAAACATGGCTCTCTTGGACCTGGAGGCCTGTCGAGCTTTCAGATGACTCCAGCCCAGCTGCCCCCTGATTGCAATCACATGAGAGAACCCCAGAGTGATAATCTCCTAGCTGAGCCAGTCTCCACAGAACCGTGAAGACACTAAATTGTTTGAAGACCCTAGGTTGTGGAGTGGTCTGTTAGTCAGTGCTAGATAACAACCACATAACAATTCACAAAACTCTTTCATTCATTCATTTTATCTTTATGCCATAGATATGCAAACATTTTCCAGAAGACTATGGTATGTCCCTTCAAACAGAGCAGGAATTTACTACTGAAATCTTTCTTCTAAGACTCATTGACTTTTTCATAAATTTACAATGCACAAGTTAACTTGCTTTGCAAGAGATGATGGGGAAATTAACTTATCTCTTTCCCCACCCATTAATCTAGAAGCAAATCAACGTTTTAACCAAGATGCCTTTTCTATGAATCATTACTCAATATATTCTTTCATGAAATTGTATATGGCTGATTCCTCATGTGAGAGGAATGAAGCCTGAGATCTGATCTAAATGACTTCTACCAGCACTGAGGTAGATAACCTTTCACACCATCATGATATAAAATTATTGATCGGGAGCACCTGAGTGGCTCAGTCGGTTAAACATCTGACTTGACTTCAGCTCAGGTCATGATGTTAGGATTGTGAAATCGAGCCCTGCATTGGGCTCTGTGCTGGGCGTGGAGCCTGCTTAAAATTCTCTCTCCCTCTTCTCCCTCTGTCCTCCCCCCAGATTAAAAAAAAAAAAAAAGGTAAAAGAAAATCATTGACCAAGTGCCAATGGCTTCTGATAATTCAAGTACACATCCAAGTCTCTAGACTAAGAGAAAAAATTGTTTGAAAATGTCCCAGGGATGCTTCACTTTATAACTGCATCCCCTTTCTCCACATCCTCACCATCTGTTGTTTCCTGTGTTGTTAATTTTAGCCATTCTGACTAGTGTGAGGTGGTATCTCATTGTGCTTATGATCTGTATTTTCCTGATGGTGAGTGATGTTGAGCATCTTTTCATGTGTCTATTAGCCATTTGGATGTCTTCTTTGGAAAAGTGTCTATTCATGTCTTCTGCCCATTTCTTAACTAGATTATTTGTTTTTTGGGTGTTGGGTTTGATAAGTTCTTTATAGGTTTTGAGACCAGCCCTTTATCCAACATGTCATTTGCAAATATATTCTCCCATTCCAGAGGTTGCCTTTTAGTTTTGTTGTTTCCTTTGTTGTGCAGAAGCTTTTTATCTTGATGAAATCCTATTAGTTAATTTTTGCTTTTGTCTCCTTTGCCTTTAGAGACATGCCTAGTAAGAAGTTGCTATGGCTGAAGTCAAAGAGGTTACTGCCTGTTTTCTCCTCAAGGATTCTAATGGTTACCTGTCTTACATTTAGATCTTTCATCCATTTTGAATTGATTTTTGTGTATGGTGTAAGACAGAGGTCCACTTTCATTCTTCCTGCATGTTGCTGTCCAATTTCCCCAACACCACTTGTTGAAGAGACTGTCTTTTTTCCATTGGACATTCTTTCCTGCTTTGTTGAAGATTAGTTGGCCATACAATTGTGGGTCCATTTCTGGGTTCTTTATTCTGTTCTGTTGATCTATGCATCTGTTTTTGTGCCAGCACCATATTGTCTTAATGATTACAGCTTAAAGTCAGGAATTGTGATGCCTCCGCTTTCCTTTTCTTTTTCAATATTACTTTAGCTATTCAGGGTCTTTTCTGATTCCACACAAATTTTAGAATTGTTTGTTCTAGCTCCGTGAAAAAAGCTGGTGTTATTTTTATAGGGATTGCATTGAATATGTAGATTGCTTTGGGTAGTTCAGACATTTTAACAATGTTTATTCTTCCAATCCAAGAGCATGGAATGTTTTTCCATTTCTTTATGTCTTCTTCAATTTCTTTCATAAATGTTCTATAGTTTTCATCATACAGATCTTTTACTTCTTTGCTTAGGTTTATTCCTAGGTATCTTACGATTTTTGGTGCAATTGCAAATGGGATCAATTCTTTGATTTCTCTGTCTGCTGCTTCATTATTAGTGTATAGAAATGCAACAAATTTCTGTACATTGATTTTATATCTTGTAACTTTGCTGAATTCATGTATTACCGCTAACAATTTTTTGGTGGAACCTTTCAGGTTTTCTACATAGAGTATCATGTCATCTGCAAATAGTGAAAGTTTGACTTCTTCCTTGCCAATTTGGATGCCTTTTATTTCTTTCTATTGTCTGATTGCTGAGGCTAGGACTTCTAGTATTATGTTGAATAACAGTGGTGAGAGCAGGGGCGCCTGGGTGGCTCAGATGGTTAAGCGTCTGCCTTCGGCTCAGGTCATGATCCCAGGGTCCTGGGATCGAGTCCCGCATCGGGCTCCCTGCTCCTTGGGAGCCTGCTTCTCCCTCTGCCTCTCTCTCTCTCTGTCTCTCATGAATAAATAAATAAAATCTTTAAAAAAAAAAAACAAAAAACAGTGGTGAGAGCAGACATCCCTGTCATGTTCCTGACCTTAGTGGAAAAACTGTTTTTCCTCATTGAGGATGATATTAGCTGCATGTGGCATTTGTATATGGCCTTTATGATGTTGAGATATGTTCCTTCTATCCCTACTTTCTTGAGGGTTTTTATCAAGAAAGAATGCTGTATTTTGTCAAATGCTTTTTCTGCATCTATTGAGAGGATCATATGGTTTTTATCCTTTCTTTCATTAATGTGGTGTATCACACTGATTGATTTGCAGATGTTGAACCACCCCTGCAGCCCAGGAATAAATCCCACTTGATTATGGTGAATAATCATTTTAATGTACTGTTGGATTCGATTAGCTAATATCTTGAGAACTTTTGCATCCATGTTCATCAGGGATATTGGTCTATAATTCTCTTTGGCGGGGTCTTTGTCTGGTTTTGGAATCAAGGTATTGCTGGCCTCATAGAATGAGTTTGAAGTTTTCCTTCCATTTCTATTTTTTGAAACACCTTCAGAAGAAAAGGTATTAATTCTTCTTTAAATGTTTGGTAGAATTACCTGAGAAGTCCTCTGGCCCTGGGCTCTTGTTTGCTGGCAGATTTTTGATTACTGCTTCAATTTCTTTGCTGGTTATGGGTCTGTTCAAATTTTCTATTTCTTCCTGTTTCAGGTTTGGTAGTTTATATGTTTCTAGGAATTTATCCATTTCTTCCAGATTGCCCAATTTGTTGGCATATAATTGCTCATAATATTCTCTTATAATTTGTTTGTATCTCTGCGGTATTGGTTGTGATCTTTCCTCTTTCATTCGTGATTTTATTTATTTGGGTCTTTCTCTTTTCTTTTCGGTAAGTCTGGCTAGGGGTTTATCAACTTTGTTAATTCTTTCAAAGAACCAGCTCCTAATTTCATTGACCTGTTCTACTGTTTTGTTTTTTTTCTACATCATTTATTTCTGCTCTAATCTTAATTCTTTCCCTTCTTCTTCTGGTTTTAGGCTTTATTTGCTGTTCTTTTTCCAGCTCCTTTAGGTGTAAGGTTGGGTTGTGCATTTGAGACTTTTCTTGCTTCTTGAGGTAGGCCTATACTGTTATATACTTCACTCTTGTGACTGTCTTTGCTGCATCCCAAAGGTTTTAGACTGTCATGTTTTCACTTTCATTTGCTTCCCTGTATTTTTTTAATTTCTTCTTCAATTTCCTGGTTGACCCATTCATTCTTTGGTAGGATGTTCTTTAACCTCCATGTATTTGTGGTCTTTCCAAATTTTTTCTTGTGGTTGACTTCAAGTTTCATAGCATTGTCATCTGAAAATATTCATGGTGTGATCTCAATCTTTTTGTACTGGTTGAGACCTGATTTGTGACCCAGGACGTGATCTATTCTGGAGAATATTCCACGTGCACTCAGAAAGAATGTGTATTCTGCTGCTTTAGGATGAAATGCTCTGAATATGTCTGTTAAGTCCATCTGGTCCAGTGTGTCATTCAAAGCCATTGTTTCCTTGATCTTCTCCTTAGATTATCTGTCCATTGCTATAAGTGGGGTGTTAAAGTCCCCTACTATTACTGTATTATTATCAATGAGTTTATTTGAGTTTGTTATTAATTTACATATCTGGCTGCTCCCAAGTTGGGGACATAAATATTTACAATTGTTAGATCTTCGTGTTGGATAGACACCTTTATTATGACATAGTGCCCTTCTTCATCTCTTATTACAGTCTTTGGTTTAAAATCTAGTTTGTCTGATGTAAGTATGGCTACTCCAGCTTTCTCCTGGTGTCCATTAGCATACCAGAAGGTTCTCCACCCCATCACATTCCATCTGGAGGTGTCTTTGGGTCTAAAATGAGTCTCTTGTAAGCAGCTTATCAATGGGTCTTGTTTTTTTTGTTTTTTGTTTTATCCATTCTGATACCCTATGTCTTTTGATCAGAGGACTGAGTCCATTTACGTTCAGAGTCATTATTAATAGGTATGAATTTAGTGCCATTGTATTACCTGTAAAGTCACCATTCTGTAGATTACCTCTGTGCCTTTCTAGT